TAATATGCTTTATATTTAAATAAATAAACAAACAATTTCCACCTCCTCCCATTTCCCTCTCCCTCCCTCTCCCTCTCCAGTCCTAAGAGAAGTCAGGGTGCCCTGCCCTGTGGGAAGTCCAAGGCCCTCCCTGCTCCATCCAGGTTTAGAAAGGTGTCCATCCAAACAGACTAGGCTCCCAAAAGCCAGTACATGCAGTAGAATCAAAACCCAGTGCCATTATCATTGGCTTCTCAGTCAGCACTCATTGTCAGCCACGTTCAGAGAGTCTGGTCTGATCACGAGCTCATTCAGTTCCAGAGATCCTGAATTCTATTCCCACAGTCACATGGTGGCTGTCTGTAGTGGGATCTGATACCCTCTTCTGTTTGACATAAAGGTGTACGTGCAGATAGAGCGCTCCTATACATGAAATTAAATAAATAAATCTTTAAAAAGAAATCAAGAATGGCTTTGTCTCCATCTTTTTCAGAGAGAAGAAACCAATTGGCTGGGACACTGATATTTCCTGGCTTACTGGAGAGGAATTGCATGTAGAAGTACTGGAGAATGTCCCACTTACAACACACAACTTTGTATGTACCTTTTCATATTTGAGCTGTCAAAAATGCTCAGTTTCTTTTGACTTTTTTAATTTAGGGAATATGAAATAGAGATAACTAATTTTGAGATTAATAATGTACCTAAACCTAAGTTCTGTTCTTGAAAATCTTGTGTTTAAATAGCTTTATCTTGCTCTTTATTCTTTATTTGTAAGCTAATAATTTGTAATATATCTCTTAAAAGAACAAAAATTAGAGGCTGGAGAGATGGCTCAGTGGTTAGAGCATTGACTGCTCTTACAGAAGACCCAGGTTCAACTCCCAGCACCCACATGCAGCTCACAACTGTCTGTAATTCCATTTCTAGGTGATCGACATCTTCATACAGATAAACATGCAGGCAGAATACCAATGTACATAAAATAAAAATAAGTAATTAAAAAACACACTAATGTAAAAGTCTATCTAGTAAAGTGAAAATTTCTAGAGGTCAGCATTTGTACAGATGAGAAGGTAATTGTATGGTTTTCTGTGTACAAAAATGCATGGTGATCAGCCCAAAGCTTACTTGTTTTTCTCTTCATTATTTCCCATTCTTCTCTTTTTCTTAAAAGAAAACTGGGGTCCATGCTGTGTGATAGTCCTCATTTTTAATTTCCTAATCAGTAGGACTTGAATGTTAATCTTTTTGAGTACACCTAGCTTTATTCTTATAATGATTGCCTAGTAGCCTATAAAAATCAAATCTGGTATCTTTTTCCTCTATTAATAAAAATATAATTTTTTATGTTTATAAAATACTTTTTACCAAGTTAGACTGTCTGTATCTCGACATACGTTTCAGAAGGATAAGGTAAAGGATGGGGAATTAGAGTAGTTGAACTGGTATTGAGTTCTTCTTGAGACTTTGCCTTGTGGTTTTTTATTTTTTGTTTGCAAATTTTGTAAAACCTAGCTTAAGCTTCTTACCAGCATGCAACAGCCTCCTAATCACCACCTCTCATTTACCATACATCTTTAGAAAAGCTTAGATTCTAGACTGAGCATAAGCAATGTCCCAGAAGGAATAATAGACCTTTCTAGGTCAATCTTTATTCACAAAAGTATCTTTACAGACATGTAGTTTGCTTTAAATTCATACTCAAATGCATACCCACTAGTTTTTACCCCTTTGTATGTTCTGCTCTCTTTATTACACACACACACGTGTGTATGTGTAGTATGTATGTATGTGTATATAAAATCAACCAGATTAACATAGTATAAATAGTATAATACATAGTACAACTATGTATAAGTAGCAGAAAGAAAGCACTAGGTAAGCAAATGAAAAATGAAGGATATTAGAAATTCATGACACAGCAGACTCTTAGTGAGTAAAAATTTAGATGGCTGGCTAAAAGGTCAGATTTGTGCCTTACGTATGTGTGAAATAACGGTAAGCAGTACTAAATATGCTTAGTTTGGCAATTATTTGCTATCTAAATGAATATCAAAGGAGGTATTTTTCACTTCTGTATAATCACAGACAAATGGAAAAGGAGGAAAACTAGAAACAAACATTTGCTTTTTTCACATCCTTTCTCAGGTGACAAGGAAACAGACCTCACTATATAAAGGTTTTTGAAAGGCCAGAGTGGATTATGTGTCTATATTTTTTTTAACTGTGCATTAAATAAATTTTTTAAAATAGAGTTTTGAGCTGGGTCTGGTCGCACACACCCTTAATCCTAGCACTGGGAGGCTAAGATAGGTAGACCACTGGGAATTCAGGGACAGCCTGGTCCACATAGTAAGTCCCTGTCTCAAAAAGGAAAATAAAGTTTCATAGCAGATATGTTTTTTCATACCTGGAATCCTGGTACTTGGGAGGCAGAAGCAAGAGGCTGGCTGAAAGTTCAAGACCAACTTCTGTACCAAAACCAATTTAACAGAAAGAAAAGTAATTTGGTGTTAAAATAAAATATATCATGAACTGTATCATTATACATAATAAAGTATATAAAAATCCTGAGTTATGTTTGAGGGTAAGTACTGTTATAGATTCATATATACTGGATCGTGATATAAAATAAATTTATTACTTATTGATTGTGGCTTTAAAAAACGAAACCAAGATGATTGAAATTATATAACCAAGAATAAAGTCTTCCTTACTATCAACATTCTGAAATAACTATTGTTAAGAGATTTTTTGTTACATATTTTTCTGTTTACTATACAACACATATATACTTTATATAATTTATCCCTTTAGGAAGAAAAAAATCCCCTTAATATAGTGCAGTTTCTTTGATCCCTGGTGAACATTAAAAGTCACTGGTTATTTTTCAAGATTTTTGAACATTTATTTAGTTTGTCACATGAAGAAGTTCATCTGAAAGCATAGACTAAAAATAAGTCCACATCAGACATTCTTCCAGAGTTGTCTTAAAAATATGTTAAAGTTGAGGGGAGAAGTTTCCTTTCTTTCTATTGAAATCTCAGAGCTAAATTTTAAATTAAAAGTTGCTGAATTCAACAATAATATCTCCTGTATTACAAACAATTCAGCTCATAATTCTGAGGTCAGATAAAATAATCCCCTTAATAAAATTACAGTGTAGATTTCATGGAGCCACTGATAATTTTTAATAGTTTCTGTTTTGAGCTCTTGGGCAATTGTTTTTATGTTACTAAATATCTTTTAGCCATGATTTCTTGCTTTGTCAACTTTACCATATGCTGGTTGCTGATTCTATTAAGATTAGCTCATTTGCAGCATTATAACCCTTTCTTTCTCCTCTCTTCCATTTTGTTGTTGTTCTGTTTGATAACTATGAAAGTTTAAATAAGTATATCTTTGTTTCTTAGACTATTAACACTAGCAACTATTTTTTTTTACCTTCCCCCTTTATGTGGTAATTAAATGATACCTTTTTGGTTTTTATTCCTCTTTCTACTTTTTTTATGTGGTTAAGCTTGAGCTCATTTATTCTTTTTAATTCAATTTTTAAATTTTTTTGAGAATTTCATACATGAGTTCCTTTAAATGTTGCTTGTTGACCTTGGAGGGATAACACACCAGGAGGCTCAATTCTTTTATTTGTTGTATTGTCTTGATTTCTGAGTTTTAAGTTGGATCTAAGGATAAAATAGTATTTCAGATCCCTGGTTTTTAACATTATGTTCTGGTATGCAATTTTTATGATATAAATTATTTAAAAATTGTTATTTTGCGTAAGAGGGTGCATTGCAAGTATTTAAAACCTTTTATGATTTTTCACTTTGCAGGTACGGAAAACTTTTTTCACCTTAGCATTTTGTGACTTTTGTCGAAAGCTGCTTTTCCAGGGTTTCCGCTGTCAAACATGTGGTTATAAGTTTCACCAGCGTTGTAGTACAGAGGTTCCACTGATGTGTGTTAATTATGACCAACTTGAGTAAGTAATCCACAAAGAACCTCTTTGCTACTACTTTATAGTTAAATTTTCATAATGTGAAACTAGTATACCTTGAAAGTCAGTGAAGGGTGTTTGCCCAGTGCATTTGTTACAGGATGTTTAAAGTCTGATCAGAAAGTAGTGCAGGTGACTCCTCTCCCAAATACAAGAATACTGGATCTGCTGCACATGAAGTTTACATATCATGCTCTCTTAAGTTTTTAGAAACCCCTTTTAGCCAGGCGGTGGTGGCACATGCCTTTAATCTCAGCACTCAGGAGGCAGAGGCAGGCAGATCTCTGTGAGGTAGAGACCAGGCTGGTCTACAAGAGCTAGTTCCAGGACAGGCTCCAAAACCACAGAGAAACCCTGTCTCGGGGGGAAAAAAAAAAAAAAAAAAAAAAAGGTGGTGGGGGGGAGAAATCATTTTTATATAGTTTGGGGTGGATATAGAATAGTGTTTCAGTTAAGTTGACTGTTGCATTTTTGAACAATGAGTCTGATTCTGTGGTCCATTTTAACAGTTACATTAATATTCTTCACCTCACCCATGTCTCTGTTTTACCTCTAGCCCTTTTCCCTTTCTTTAAAGGAATAATTATGTACATTTGTTTCTTTCTAAAATTCCTTTTTACTTTATAGTATGTCTAATAGACTAGATGTAGTCTATTGTAATCTTTTCTGTAATTCCTTTTGTTGCTGCTGAAATGGAACTTGACTTTTAAGTAAATTATAATGATGTATCCAACTTAGCTACTCAGTAGGCAGATGCAGATGGATCTCTGTATGTTCAAGGCCAGTTTGATCTACACAGTGAGTTCCAGGGCTACACAATGAATCCATCTCAGAAAACAAACATACAAAAAAACCAAAAAGGGTAATCTAATTTTACCACTAGATATTTTCTTTTAGTCTTTAAACCACACAGTATGATTTCCCCCTGTAATATATAGAAATTGACAGTTGGTCAGTTATAGAAAAGAACAATTAGTTTTAGATATGAGCTACCCTAGAAAGTACAATGTAATTTAAAAAAAAAAAACTTTAGAAAAAATACTTAATTGAATTTTAACAGTTGTTTGCACAAGTAAAACTTGATCTCATATTTTTCCATTACCTCTGTGTTCTCGCGTATTGAAGCTTCTGGGTTTTGCACAAGTTAGGTTTGTTTTGTTTTGTTTTGTTTTTGCCTCACAGTTTGCTGTTTGTCTCCAAGTTCTTTGAGCATCACCCAGTACCACAGGAGGAGGCCTCCTTAGCAGAGACTGCCCTTACATCTGGATCCCCTTCCGCACCCCCTTCAGACTCTATTGGGTATGATTTGATTCCTACTGTTTAATGACATGCTATTTGAACTGCCTTCCTTTGGATCTTTTGGGTAATTGTAAACCTTTTCAACACTAGAACTGTTAAATTATGGATATTTGGGGCTGGAGAGATGGCTCAGAGTTTAAGAGCACTGACTGCTCTTCCAGAGGTCTTGAGTTCAATTCCCAGCAACTACATGGTGGCTCACAACCATCTGTAATGAGATCTGGTACCCTCTTCTGGCCTGCAGGCATGGAGGCTGAACACTGTGTACATAATAAATAAATAAATCTTTAAAAAAATTATGGATATTTTCACCCAATAATGTATTTTATCACAATATTCAAGCGTTTACATGCATTTGGTTCAGAATGGGATTAAAAACATAGTATGGTGGTTATGCCTTTAATCTTGGCACTGATGAGGCAAAAGCAGGCAGATCTCTGTGAGTTGGAGGCTGGCCTCATCTACACAGTAAATTATTACCTTGAAAACCAAAACAGCCTATATGGCTGACTACTGTGGCTGCTTTGCACTGATCTTCAGGTTAGCTTTATTTATTAACACACAAATACTATACCAATAATTTCCCCTTTTTTGTCTAAAGTAAGAAGAAGGCTATAACATAAGAAAAACTATATACAATAAGTATAATGACTACATACAGTATATATAGGCAGTAAATACATCTGCAATGTCTAGTCCATTTGCATTTGACAAAGAGAAAAGACTCCATATCTATCCTATCTTGGTGAGTCCAAAGTCTTGTACATAGTTTATTTTCTATCTTAAGTTGTTTTCTGCATCAAGTAAGCAAGGAAAACTATAACTATCTAGTCTGCACCTCCCTCAGAGACCCAAGAAGGAAATAATATTAGCTGAGTAAGCAGGAAGTGCACGCAAGCAACTTCCAAAAAATGTGAGAAATAACAGAAACAGCTGACTGCCTGGACAGTCACCCAAAGTTTCTCTGCAATGGTGGGGCATCCATCTTCAGCCTGCAGACCTAGCATGTTCGACAGACTTTTCTGTGAAGCAGGATATTCTGAAAGGCTGTCCCTCCTTGTCTAGACAATGTTTGTCAGTCTCTTTTGTGTTGTTCTTGTCCAGTTACGACCGCATACTGTCAGCAGTAAAGGCAAGGGCATTTTCCTACCCAGTGACTTACTTTGCCACAAAGAAAGTAAACTGCATGTGGAGTTTCTTCAATTTCCATTATCTTCTCTGAAGTAGATTGGTGCTACCAGGAGCAAACATGTCTCATGGTCATTTAAAAAAAAAAAAAAAGCTTATGTTATTAGAACATCTTAAATGCCATATTCTGTAGATCTCTGAAGTATTTGAAGATGACCTGGTTATCTAAAATATATCTTTGTTTGACCTTGAAAACATACCTACAAGTTCGATTATACTAGGTGATTAATTACTAACCTGTATTTCCTTATTATCCTTAGTTGGTATTAATAATTTTCAAGGACTAGAAATTTGCATTACATTGTTAAATGAGTTGTATAGGTACAATACCTTGAAACCTTGAACTGTAGAAATGTATATATAGTATGTTCTAACAAAATTAATCTCAAAATTGTATCAATATACAAAATTTGTATATGATATACAAAAATCCAATCCAATGTAAAGCATTTAAAACTAGTAGTTGCATTTTAAAGGTAGATTCAACAATCTACCTTTTTATCTTATATCTATAATCCTCCTTTTTTCTTTTCAGAATAGAGTCAATAATCTACCCTTTCATCTTATTATATCTATATCCTCCTTTTCTCTTTTCAAAACAAGACCCTTGAATCTAATTTCATTTTTTCCTGAACATTACCAATAACAACTTGTAACCAACCCCCTAAACAGTGAGAAATATCCATAGCCCATTAAACAACCAAAAACCACCCACCCCACCTCTTGAGAATGTGGGCATCATCCTTAAATTTACTTCCTGCTGTCTGGAAATTATGGTACCTTTAGGGATTCCTGAAAAGAAAAATTGGAGTTAATTGTCAAGTCTTAGGAGAAGTAGCTGTGTCATTTGTTATCCAGTTTCTACATAATGGAAAAGTGCAGGGCTTATCTCAAGTTCTGGCTACAGCAGTTTGGCTGGATCATCTCAGCTAGTCACCTCAAAATTGTTCTGAGCAGTTTTTAGTTGAAGGCTGATCTTTGATGAATTTGTAGGGCCTTATCCTCCTATGGAGACTTGAAAGGTCACTGCAGAAAACTAGAGACTCAAATCATGTAAAGGAAGGTAGATGAAACTGTTTCTAGAATTACTTAGTACTCTGTATGACCATTAATATCTGCAGGAGCCTGCTCCTACAAAGTCAGCTAAGGTTCCTGGAGAGGGGATCCTCAAGACCAAAGAAACTTCAGATGAAAGAACTGAGATAGAAGTGGGAGGTTTGTCCAGTCTTTAATTGGTCTGGAAGGAGTTTCCTCTAGATAGTCGGAAACTGGATTTGGCACAGGGGCCTGCAGGAGGCCCCTCATGGAGTTTCCCTGAACTGATTACCTTGGATATCCCTTCTTCCCTTCTTCCCTTCTTGATCAACTTTCATTAGTCCAGTGCCTGTCTTACCACACCTGCATAATCCAGAAGGGAAGGGCGTTATGAATGCTTACTAAAAACATTGTTTCTAGGAATGCCTTGTCTACAATCCTTTTTAAGGTGACCTTGGATGCTACAGTTGAAACACTTGACCAGTTCAGATTTTCTGCAAACCTCTGGAAATTGCCTCTCCTATCCAAGTATTATCATGGTCATCGAGAGTCAATGTTAATTGTATCTTGAATCCATTCCTAAAAGGGGCTATCTTGCTATGGCCTAATTGTCCTTTTGCTTTGAGAATTAGCATTTTCAAAAGCCAGAGATTCAATTATTATTAGTTTAGCTTCTAAGTTTGGTATCATTCTCTTTACTGCTGATGTCAATCTTTCCAAGAACTCCATGAAGGTTTTGTTTGGGCCCTTTATAACTTTAGTAAATAACTCAGTTTTTTTTCCCTATTTCTCCAGTTCTTGTCCCAAACATTTAAAGCTGCTGTGTGGCATAAATCCAGGGTGTAGTCATATACAGATTGCCTTCCTATAGTAGCATAATTTCCTTTTCTAAGAATTTGATTTTGGGGATTTCCATACCCCTAGCTTTACTCCGTTGTTCCTCTCTATTCTTATATTCTTATAATGCAGCACTGAACTTGTTCCCCCATTAAATTCCTGCCTGTACTTGAATATCTCTGTGATCTGTTTTATTAAGTTTTTCTAAGGCCTGTATCTTAGCCCTCAGATTAACCAACTTTTTTAGTTATACAACAAAAATGATAATGCTGATAATGTTTACAATTGATATTATATAAATCTCATCTAAATTAGTTATCCTCATTTAATCATTCCATTTTCAAACTTTCCAGCAGACATATTATACAGAGACCCAAATCCCCCCATTATAATGGTTTTTCCCATTTTTAATGTGGTTTAAAAAAAACCTCTTTTAACTAATTCTTCCCTTTAATAATTTCCAATTATCTTTCTAAATCTGCCTATGATCTTTTTGAAGATGTGTGGCTTATTGCTACTTTGTAGATCAGTAAATGCCTGACTAGTTTTTAAAGCATTTACCTAATTTGGTTACAGCCCGAGAAAGGGGTTCATGGAGAACATGCCAGGAGAGAGGGGGAAACTTAGTCGGTAGGGCAGTGACTCCAGTTGTGTGTAGCTCCGGCCTATGCTAATGGCTGTAAAGCCACAGGCAAAAAGCTTTTTTATGAATTCATACGCCAAACATTGGGCACCAATTGTAACATGAAATAATAAAAACCCAGAGACAGATATTGGGGTTCAACCTGAAGATGAGAAAAGCAAAGCAGCCAGCCACTGGCTCTTACCTCTACCTCAGACCAAAAATGGTTGATCCTGCCTCCACAAATTCTCAAATTGAGACTGAGAGTGAGAACTATCTCCTCCATTTTATATTTTTCTCCAGTTCTGGGATTAATGGCATGTACAACCACCACCTGGCTTGTATGACTGACTAGTGTGGCTAATCTTCAGGCAAGCTTTATTTATTAAAACACAAATAATATACCACTATACTGCAGAATAGTTTTTTGAAGCTACCCTTCCTAAGGTCTCACAGGTCAAAAAAAAATCAAAATAAATTATATTTCCAAGAGTAATGGCTCATTACTATAATATCAGTACTTGGGAGGCTGAGGCAGGAGGATTACCATGAATTTGAGGTCAGCCTAGGCTAGAGCAAGACCTAGCCTCTAAAAGAAATTAGAGAATAGGTATGTAGCTCAGTCAGTAGAGCCTTTGCCTAACATGTGTGTATGAAGCCTTGAATTTTATTCTCAGCACCGCATATACTAGACATGCTTGTTGCTATAATCTCAGCACTTGGGTATAGAAGGAGGAGAATCAGAAGTTCATTATCATCTTGAGGAAGTGTTAGTCAGCCTAAGACATATGAGACCATCTTTCAAAAAGGTAGGGATGGAGGCTGGAGAGTTAGCTCAGCAGTTAAGCTGTGCAAGAATGAAGACCAGAATTCAGATCCTATTACCATCATAACAGCCCACGCATGGTTCCATGCACACCTGCAATGCTAGCAGCAAAGGGGATAGAGACAGGAGGATTGATGGGACTTGATGGCTTACAATCTAGTTGAAAGGGTTCAAGTTCTAAATCAAAAAATAAGGCAGAGAGCAATAAAGCCACCTAATACCCTCTTTTGGGTTCTGGCATGCATACAGTATATGTATATATATGTGTGT